TAAAACATATATTTTGAGTTGGTTTTTAACATATTATTTATTCTTGTTGAATTTTGCCAATCTAGAGCATCCTTACAATTATCATTCTACTAATATTTACTTTAAAACTGAATTTTATCCTTGGATTCTATGAGGAGAATAATAGATACAATCCCTGATGTGACTTCAAAATTTCTGTAAATATTCTTGCTATTCTTTTATACTTCTTGAAAAAAAAAAAAAAAAACCGTCAACCAATAGTTATATTTTTACTCGTACTTTATTTCTTTGCTTGCCCTTTTTCCCTGTGAGCATGGGTATGGGCTGCCTGCAATCCCAATGGAAACATCGCCACAGAGATTTTCAAGACTTTCCGATGTTTGGTGACCTTTTCCCTAACAAGCAACCTTATTGTTAAATACTATAAAAAGTATTTGAGTTGGAAACAAACTTTTATATAAATAAGTAAAACTTATCACAATATAGAAAAAAAAAAACATTTAATTGAATTGAAAATCAAAATATAAGTTGAATTTTGAATTTCAGTTTTGGGTTGTCATCGTGGGATCATGAATCTTGCCTATTTGAGTTGGTTTGTGTTTTGGGTTGCTTGGGCTACTGGCACTGTAAATTTTTTATATGCGTTCAATGTTACTATCTCCGTCTCATATTAGTTGTCCATTTTGAAAACTTTAACTCACTACCACCTTTTATTTTTGATGTCATTTTTAGTCATATTCCTTTTATATACTTATATACTACCTATATCCCATATTAGATGTCCACTTCGGTAATTTTGACTCACAAAAATTATGAGTCAAAATTTTTGAAGTGAACAACTAATATGGAACGAATGTAATATTTAACCATTGAAATATATAAGGCATGCTTGGTTTGTAACCCTGAAAACAATTCTAAAAAATTCAGAAAATAAATAACAGAAAAAAAATAAAAAAAATAAAAAGTTTCACAACGAGATTGTGATATTATTTCTTCTATACAAGTTATGTGTGAACTCAAATTTATTCATTTATCCAAGTAAATTCTAAAATTGAGTGCTACCGAGCACACCGCTGAGAAGACAGTGAAAAATTAATTAAGATGGACTTAAGAATCGCATGATTCGGAGTCCGGACGGAAATGAAAGCATGTAAATTAAACTAACTTGTTTGAATTTAAATGAGAATAAAACTTGTGAAATAACTTGCATTAAATTAAAGTAAGTTTTAAGAAAAATTACATAAAGAAATAAACTCTCTAACTATCTAACTTTCTCCCACTTCACCTTTTCTTCCTACTTGACTTTTTCTTTTCTTTTCTTTTTTCTCTTTCCTCCTTTTCTAACTCATCATCATCATTTTCCTATTCTGCACTCGTATAGTGTGCTTATTCTTCAAAAGGCGGTCAATTCTACCTTTCTCGGACCTTTGATGATGTTCCCAAAGGTGAAGAAGTAAACCAATTAACTCGCGGCCAAAATGGAGCTAAATTAGGTGTGAAAGGAAATTCCAACTCTGGGGGATCAATCCCCCACTATTCACAGAACTAAAAATACTCTCTTATGCTCATAAGAGAATTATAAAAGATTATTATCCAAAAATATGTCTTTTTATAAATGAGTTTTCAGAAAATTGAGCCAAGTAAAGTTTTTTTTTTTTTTTTTTTGTATAATTTTCTGTTTTTAATTTTTTGAAAATAAAAAACTATTTTTATAATTACATACCAAGCAAACTCATAATTTTTTTTTTTTATATATTTTTTTTATTATTATTTTTTTTTAACTAAGGTGAATTTGAGGGTACAGACTACAGAACCTAATTTAAATAACTTTGTCTAATAATCATATCACTCTCCCTTATATAATAAGTGAAAACAAATCTATAGATGCCACGCGTTTTTCTTTTTTCTTGCGTTTTTCTTTTTCTTGGTAACATAACATCCCATCAGTATTGACCCAAGAATACTTTTGTCTTCCAAGTCAACCTACAGCTGGAATGAGGGTAGGTACTCCGCATAACTTGTTACCTCCCAAGTCAACCTACAGGTGTAATGAGAGTAAATTGTCAATGTAAAAAGCTCTCCCGTAATTTGTTGCGGCGATGAACCGACACTGGAAAGATGGTATTATGAGGTTAATTATGGTAATACAAGCGACAAAGAAATTCTTCGTAACTTTTGGCGACCTGTTAAACAAATGTTTATTTATTTATTCTATGTAGTGTAGTAGGTAATAATGAAAGCACATAGAGTCCCACAGACTCCCACACCATAAATATAAAAGAGGTGTTTCGTGTCATTTTGTGTAGAATTGTACTCCGTATAATATATACTCCGTGTGTGTGTGTGTGTGTTATATGTGTCAGTGTGTGGTGGTGTTGCGAACTTACCCTCAAAAACAAAAAAAAAAGAAGAAGAAGGATGTGTTTGTGCAATAAACATTTGGTTGAAATGTTTCTATGTTGCATTTGATGTGTTTGGGTAAAATGCCAGAAGTGAGGAATGTAGGTGCTTGCAATACACCAGCTTATGAATCGGCGCCTATGTTTGAAATTTAGGTGCGTTTGACGGTAAAATATATTTTTTAAAATTTTTTTTTTTTAAGTAAAACATTTTTTATTTTTATTTACTCAGAAAAAGTCTAAGTCCGAAGTCGAATTCATCGAAAGAGACTGTGTAAAATAACTTATTATAAATTGATAGGTAAATTATATTTTTCAGATTTTAATATTTTTTTAATTGAAATGAAGAACTAAAAAGAAAATATCATAACACTTTTTGAGTTTGAAGTTTGGTTTTGTTATTATATTATGTTGGCGTGAGATTTTTATCTTTTAATTTTTTCTTCAACTTTGTTGGTCTTTTTTTTTTTTTTTTTTTTTTGTTATAAGTAAATTTATTTACCTATCTTTGAGGCTTGTTAATATCTCATGTAGATCCTTTCTATATTTCACAATCTCATTTGTCTGCCCCCCAATATTTTGGTTTATGTAACAAAATTTCGTTACCGGTCAGTTTTGCCCTTCATTTGTGCCTAAAACAACAACAAAAATTCATGGGCAAAATAGTAATAAAGTTACTAATGGGAAGGTAAGTGGAATTATGAAATATAAATAAAGTTTATGCGAAATTTTGACAAACTTCAAGAAAGACAAAGTAAATTTTTATTTTTTTTTTTTATTTTTTTTTTTTTTAAGTAACTACTGTGACATGAAGACAAGAAGTCAGTGACATGTTTATAGTTGACATCGTGTTCTTTCGTCATCGTGTTCCAACAAGGCAAAAGCTATTAACGTTCATTAGTGTATTAAGGACTAACTTTGAACCCACAAAATTAAGAGAAAACTATCAAAAAAAAAAAAAAATCTGATAAATTATTAATAATTGAATGAATAAAACTCTCTATAATATAATAAGGAAACCATCTGCAAAAGAAAACTGAAAAAAAAACCATTCAAATTAGACTTATTATAAAAATTCCAAAACATCCAAAATTGAGAAAAAGCAATTCCCAATCCCTAAAAGATAGTTTACATCAGCACTTTCTAAACTAATCCTAAAATTTGTGTTAGCCATATAGGTTGAACAATTAGTTCTACATTAAGTTCCTTCTCAATTGAGTTAGCCATGACAATCAAGGGACTGCACTTTCTGAAAACTTGGACTAATTAATTCGAAGTTGGTTACACTTTATTTTTTTCCCCTACTTCCTATTTTGATCAACTTGAATCTTTTAATTTGAAAATGGTTTGAATGCTATCATACCATCTCCATGTGCATGTGCAACATGATTAAAAGTTAAGGTAATCTTTAATTTATAATCACATGTATATTTACATATATGTATTCTTGTCATGAAATTACAGAAACCTAGTTCATAAAAGAAATGGCAAATTCTTTGGCAGTTTCACCCGAATAAATTAACTAAAGATTTCTTAATGTCAAAGAAACCTATTTAATGTAACTTTAGAGAAAAAGTATCCAGTTAGTGTGTAAACAACAGGACTCTTTTCGCATTCGTTCATCATATATACAAAAATTCAGTATGTGTTTTAATAATGGCCCAGTGTGTTTGGCAATGATTTTATTTCTCTCTTTTTTAATTATTATTATTATTATTATTATTTTTTTTTTTTTGGGTAAGCCAAAGAATGAACAAAATACTAATAAAGAAAACAAAAACAACAATAAAGGGTAAGAGGGATATGCCAAGCAAAAACTAGACACAATAACAAAGGCAACTTACACCGGCAAACAACACAACGCAAATAGGAGCGAATGAGCTAGGTATTTTCGATCTAGCAGTTATTGGAATGAAAAACAGAGCTTATTCCTTACCGGCCTTCTTCTTTGGTTATTGTTAACTCATTAATGGAGAGGTTTTCCGGTTTACTGGAAGAGGAAGAAGGTGTGGTAGAAATGTTTCTCCATGCCACGAAAGCTGGCTGTTTAGGATTTGGGAGACTTGCAGTTTCACTACCCAGCATGAAAAGTACATTTGACATGGTGGGACGATCACCAGGGTCTTCTTGTACACATAATAACCCAACAATTATGCACTTCAACACTTCACTTCTGTTACACGATTCGACTAGTGTTTGATCCATCAGATCAAATGTGTTCTCTTCCCTCCATAACTTCCATGCCTGAATTTGACAGTGTTGGAATCAGAAGCAAAGTAAACATTAATGATCTATATATATATATTTATATATATATTGATGGGTTCGTCAAACTTTTAATTAGCACTTACATAACCTAAAAGGTTCAAGGCTTGTTGGGACTGATAAAATCCTGCATTCCTTTTTCCACTTATAATCTCGAGGACAACAACTCCGTAGCTAAAGACATCAGACTTAACTGAAAACAACCCATCTAATGCATACTCTGGAGACATATAACCACTGCATGATATCAAATGTTCAAAGCATTTAGTATTTGTATGTTAAGATATATGACTTCATCTACGCTGCAAAACTTATTAACAATAGCCTTGATGATCATACCAAGGCTGCTTTACTTACTAGGTTCCGACTACTTTGTTTGTGTTTGCTTCTGTTTCTTTGCCACCAACTATCCTTGCCAACCCAAAGTCTGAAATTTTTGGATTCATCTCCTCGTCTAAGAGAATGTTGCTTGTTTTCAAATCTCTATGAATAATCCTCAATCTGGAATCTTGGTGAAGATAAAGAAGTCCTCGAGCGACCCCCAAAATGATGTCGAATCGTTTCTCCCAATCCAATAACAAGCACATGGTTCGATCTTGCAACATTTCCATTGCAAAGCATAATTTAAGAAAAACTATCTTAATTTGGTTTCTATTAAACAAAAATCGAAATATGCATGCACTAAAAGTCTAGGAATAGGTTTAAAGTCTAACCAAATATGAAGGCATCTAAGCTCTTGTTGGGCATATATTCATAGAGTAGCATCTTTTCGTCTCCTTTGGTGCAATAGCCCAAAAGCCTAACGAGATTTCTATGTTGAAGTTTTGCAATTAACAAAACTTCATTCTTAAATTCCTCCATCCCTTGTCCCGAATGGCTTGACAACCTCTTCACAGCAATTTCCTGTCCTCCCTGAAACTTACCCTGAAACAGACTATCACTATGAAGCAATATGTAAAAAGCAACAGTAATAACTTATTGACTAAAGGGATTATAACCTTATAAACAGGCCCAAATCCCCCCTGTCCAAGCTTGTTTGCATCTGAGAAGTTGTCTGTAGCAGCAAGTATGCTTTCCAAATCAAAAAAAGGTACATCAATGTGTTGCTTATCTTGTTCTTCAAACTGTCTTGGGCCTATCATGTCCTTGATTCGTCTTTCACTATCATACAAGTGAAGCATTGGATCTCCTGGGATGCTTTGTCTGCTTTCTGTAAAAAAGATAACAATGCACCTTCATTAATGATTCTTATTATTGGAAATATTACCTGAAAATTAATCCACCCTCACTTAGAGAGAAATATAGAAAAAACAAAAAGAAGAAAGATATTATATTGTCATGCATAATGTATACTAATTCATTGTTTAATACTAGTTACCTTCTCTTTTTGCCACAATGCTTCGTCGGTGTATAATGTAGCTAATACCGCATAAGAGTACAACCACAACAATAACAATGACAAGGATAATCACGGTTTTTGAAGAAAACGACTTCCCTTTATGCTCGGACTCCCAAGGTTGGGTAGTGTTGCTAACTCCTGAAAAACAAAATGATGCCCTGGTCATCCATCATTCTATTAGGCATGCCCAAACAAGTTGATATGGAAAGGCGGAATAATGACAAATGAAAATTCAAACTGAGGAAGTATTGATTAACATTTAACTTTGCATTTTGGATTTGCTCCAATTGATAAAATTAATGGCTGATCATTGTGTTAATATTGATATGCATAATGGAGCAAACTCACCTTGAGTACAATTTAAACTCGAGCCATTCCAGTGATAGTTTGCAATGCAAAGGCACCTCGCCTTCCCATTTTGTGTTGCATTGCAACTTGAATTAGGCCAGTCTTTGCAGTCTTCGGATGAACTACAGATTGGCTCTTTTGGTAGATTCCAAGCAATCTCTATTTCATTCCACCCTTTCGAGTGTGTATTAGAATTACTAGTATCAGAATCAGTGTAGCACCAGTTAGTGACATTAAAGGGAAGTGATGCGTTGAGCTGTACTTCGTCTCTTGAATTTCTTGCCTCGCAATTGTCATAACGTTTTGTTTGAATGAAAAATCTATGTGTATCTGGATTGATGCTAGTGACTCGGAAGATGTTCCTGGGTGTGCGGAAGCTAACCTGGCCTGTCGAAGAATTGCATAGGAAACTGAAGTACATGGAATCACCGCAGTTTTGTCCAGTGCTTAGTGGATAGGGAATTGGGTTTGTGCCACAAGGGTCACAGTTTCTGGTTGTTGATCCTGCCAAATATAGCATTGGTAATTAGTTGTGAAAACAGAAGCACTTTGTGTTTATATGGGTTAAGGCCTTACTAGTTTTTTGGGACTTGGTGCAATATTCCCTTTTGAGGTCGATAGAGAGTATTTGATATGAATTCCAAATATTCGGAAAAGAAGGCATACCTATATCAGAAGCGTCGACGCGCACATAGAGATCATCACCGCCTGCATCAGCATACTCCTCCTGTAAATTACTGAGTTCCCCATTGCTTGTTGTCCACATCCAGCACGCTTCCTCTCTGGGGATGCGTCTTGCCCAAATTTGAGGTTTAACATATGAATATGCCAAGCAATTGCAGTGTTGAAGGCATTCCTCTTTGCATTCTTCCTCAGAGTTGGCATTAGGGTAATTGGAGTCTGGGTTCTTCACTTTGATCTTGGCCAATCTCAAGAACGCCTCGCTCCCGGTACATGTAATTGACTTTCTTGTACACCCCCCAGAAAAATCTCCAGATTTCCAATTATCCGGCATACTAGGCTTGAGGTAAGCACTTGCATACCAATCTATTCTTAATATTGCAGCTGCCAAAGTTCCCACAATAATTATACACACTGCAATTGTCTCTCGGCTCTGACCATATCAGAGACCATTTCTTGCTTTTATTATCCCAATTGAAGAACTGTATCTGCCCGGAATCATCCATCACCAACCGTCTATTTTCATAACCCGAAATTGATCCAAATGTATAGTTGATAGATCTAGGAGTATTAGTAGTAAAATAAGATAAGAAACGCACTACAGATGCACTCATATCATTGTAGCTGATGAATGCACCTGACTCTCCACTTTTCCAGTATGTGATTGACCTGTTCTTAATGCTGTAGAATTTAGCACTTCCCTCATCTAGCCGGAAGGTAAAGTTTCCGATCCCGGGGTCATCATCACTTCTCCAAGAAGTCAACTGTAGGTTTTCATCCATCTTCATACCAGGAAGAAATGTATTGGTTGGATGATCGAAGCTTTGCCAAATGATCTTTCCAGATTGAGTATCACTTAATACCAAGTTCCCAGAATCCAAAAGCTTCACCATCCTGGAAGAAGACAGCTGAGAGCTTTGGACATCGGTTGAGAAGTAGGAAGTATTTCCTTTTTCATCCATCAGCACGAGGTTGCCACGCTCTCCAACCCCGAAATACCCGGGCAATGATGTTGCCAGTGGTGAATTACGGTTGGCAACCCAAACAATTATGGTTGGTGCGCTATTCGAGTACCATATACCCACATATCTTCGGTCATCAGAAGTCGGGTTAAAGAAACCTAGTTGGAATCGTCCTCCCTCGGATATCAGAGTTTCGCCTTCCAACATCAAACTACCTGTTATGTTATCTGTTGCAGCACATTGCAGCTGAAAAATGTGCAGTACAAGGAAAAATACATGGCAGATAAAAGCTTGTGATTTACAGGCCATGTACTCGATCATGTAGTGATAATTAACAGTTGCCTTGATTTCTGATCTTTCTTCTGTTATCTTGGCCTTTGAACCAATTGAGTATTGATTTACAGAAACCAAGTGGTGCCAAAAAGATGTTCTGCTTCACCTTTAAAGATAATAATAATAAATAAATAAAGGTTTTGCTTAAATTTCAAAATTATAAAGGTGCCACTATGAAGTTTAAAAACTCCCTCCTGCCGACAAAGCATTCGTTTTTAAGTTTTCAGTTCTCAAAATACTTCAATCAGTGAACACAAGCAATAAGTCCATTCAACATTTTTTGTTCAATTTAATAATTATGATATAAACTCTTTTGTAAATTAGCACACTTTGAAAGAAACATGCTAACCATGTAATGATATAATTTGTGTACTCTTTTGTCTGTTCAAAATTTGCTGATTTAAAAGAGTTTTTATATCATAAAGTCTAAGGGATTTTGCTCTTCTTCGTTTTTTTCTTCCTTCAATTTCTTTCCGGGTTGCTTCCCTTTTTATGTTTGATTTTTCCGTGGGCTTTGGAAAGAAAAAGATATGCAAGCCATCATTGAGGAAATATTAGCCACACGTTTCTCTTGGTGGCAAGAAGATTCCATCCAATTAATTACAAGGAATAACACCAAGATCTCAACAATTAAACAAAATAATAATAGTTGACTTGCAAGTCTTCTTCACAAGGAATAACACCAAGATCTCAACAATTAAACAAAAGAAAAGAAAAGTAAAACAAAAACCATATGTACTCCACCACATCTCCTTTGCCAGACCCAAATACCATCTAATTCCATGGCACCGCAAACAGCAGGATCAAAGCATTCCACAGAATTCCAATTCCAGCAGGAAATGTCAAGGAGCCAAGTTGCAACGGAAGGCAAGTTCAGGGAGAGAATATTACAAAATCCAACCAAAAAGTCACTTCTCTTTTTTCATCTGGATTTGATGTGAAACAAGTTCTATCTAAACTTTCAACGTCCTCGTTGTGATCGAATGACTCTGCGAGATCAGACGTTTGGTGTGACACCAGATCAAAAAATGACTATAACCCTTATACCAACCGTAATGGATAGTGTTTTGCGATTCGACGTAAAAGTTTAAACTAATTTGATGAGACTAGCACCCAATCTATACTCATTCACTTTCCTATCCAAATTCAATACAAATTGCACTTGACACAAGTCCATATCTTCTTATCAAATTCATAACTGAAGAATAAATGGTCCACCAAATTTACATTTATGAAGCAATTATGGTAAGACAGGCAGTAGGCGCCAAACACATCCTCTTTTTTGCAAGCTTGACAGGGTGAGACATCCGTTCTCACCAAGCAATACAAGTTGAGATGATTTAATTGAAACTATTCATTAGGGCATCTAACTACGTCAAGCAAGAGATATATAAGCCAACTAAATTGCATGAGTAGGAATAAGTAGAAATTCAAAGAGAAGTTAGCAGAAAGAATCATAATTTTCATTACGGATAAACAACACTCCAAACAATTAATAGCTAGAATTTGAAACAACACTCAAAACAATTAATAGGTAAAATTTGAACATGATTGCAAAATAAATTTCATTTTTCTATCATTGCACTAACAACTCATATATACATCTACAAAATTGTATATATGCTGTCTTTTAGTTATATCTATTCATAGCTTTCCAGTCACTTTATAAACTCTAAAAATATTGCATACATCTATGATAATTAAACCAAGTTTACTATTATTACATTGTACAAAATGTTGGTACTCAAATCAATTTTTCAAAAAAAATTAGAGTCATTTCTCATTGCGTGCGTCTGGTCTATAACATTTTGTGGTCATTGTGGTGTATTCATTTCGGCAATGGTCTCTTTTTTCATTCAACTTTGGGCTTGTGCCAGGAAGGCCATAACAGCCCAAATTAAAATATTCTACTATTGAAAAATTGTATGGGCTAATTTAGGGCGAAAATATTCCCAAACTCCAAGCCAGTTTAGTTTGTACAGTTGATTCAAAAGTCAGGCCCAAATTTGCAATCGCAATTCGCAAGTTGTTAGCCATCCGTGGAGTCTGAGTAACATGACACGTTGACGACAATCACGTGGGCCTTCCATGATGGCACATGGGGGTAAGAGGATTGCTCTTCGAAGCGGCACAGTACGATCACGCCACAACCGTGTTTTTTACCCTCGCCATTCATTATTGAAGCACGTGTTCACACGTGATACCAAGTTGGTACAAAATCCGAGCGGATACTAAACTCTAAGCACAAGCGCGTGTACTTACCTTATCTTCTCAAAGATCAGGCAAATTATTCGACCGAGAATTCAGGGAGGCCCCACCTCCACGTCAAGGCAGGTGCATATCACGTGGTCCATGACCACGAAACTAAACCGAATCGTGCCACGTAAGCGAATCAGAATCTGCCAATGTACAAGCCAACTAGACGACACGTCACCACCTAAAATCAAAAAATATCTTGCACGAACCAAGGAAACCGAGGACCTCCGAGCTCACTTATACACCACACAATCGTTGTTCCCTCTTGAGCCAACACCTGGCGTTTCTACACACCATTGGCATGGCTCGGACCGTAATGTTGAATCAAAAACCTAGCCCTGAGTACGACTCATATTTTTCAAATTATGACTATTTTGACCCTCTTCAACAGCCACAAACCTAGAAGGTAGTGATTTTGTGACGGAAGTTGCCTTCAGTTTTCTTTTCTTTATTCTCTTCAAGCGGTGGTTGCAGAAGAGAGAGAAAGTAGAGAGAGAGAGAGAGAGGGATTTTCAGAGATGAAGAGTTGTGAGCTCTGCAGGTTTCCGGCGAGGATGTACTGCGAGTCCGATCTAGCGAGTCTGTGCTGGGACTGCGATGCGAAGGTTCACTCCGCAAACTTCCTAGTCGCGAGGCATTCGAGGAGTCTTCTCTGCCATGTCTGTCAGTCTCCGACGGCGTGGAGTGCGTCCGGTGCGAAACTCGGACGGACGGTTTCGGTTTGTCAGAGTTGTGCTGATGACTGTGATGGATTGAAGGATAATGATGGAGGCCGAGGAGAGCAAGAAAGCGGAGGACGGAATAATGATGAAATAGATACAGAAGATGACTACGACGAAGGCGATGATCAAAGTGAAGATGAGGATGAGCTTAGTGGAGATGATGATGAAGATGGAGATAATCAGGTGGTGCCGTGGTCTTCTTCTACGCCGCCGCCTCCTCCGCCTCCGAGTTCGTCCAGCAGCGGAGAGTCCTCGAGCTGCAGCTTATATAATGCCGATGGAGATTTATCTTTGAAGAGAATGCGTGAGAATGCTGCACGCTCCGATGTATGATTTTTCTTTCTTATATACTATACTGAATACAGACAGATCTAATTACTTCTCTAATTTATTTGTTTGATTTTGATTATTTACAAAATTTTCTTCTGATTTTGAAGTATAATTTCTTTGTTTTGTCTACTTTTAGTCCTATCCGTTTCAAACGATCGCATTTCTTAAATTGATTCTTCTATCAAGCTTTCAATCGTGCGATCAGTCTAATTAAATCTAGGGACCTCTTATCTCACCAAACAGTAGCCGCACATTTGAGTCTAAACTCCGTTCCTGCTACAGGAGGATCACGGCTGTTCTTCTTCTCGACGGAATAGTGCGCCACCAGCGGCGGAGGCTGTGTCTGCAGGAGAAGGCGGTTTTGTTGACTCACTGAGGCCTATGAAAAACCCAAGAATTGAGCCGAAGTGGTCTGATCGTGTTGAAAGGCGACCGGCCAGTTCAAAATCTGCGGCGATCGTGGAGTCGCTTGAGAGATTTCATCAATTAGACACGAATCGTGGCCGCAACGCGTCTGCGGTGATCGTTGGAATCTGTAAATTGAGCAAGAATCCGGAAGCCCCTGATTTGTATTCTCCCGAGACTCCTTAGCCATCAGATGTGAGGTAGATTAATACCTAATTAACCTCTCCTTTTTTTTTTCTTTTTTTCTTTTTTTTCTTTTTTTTTTTTTTTTTTATTTTTAACCAACAATATCGAGTAACCATTGTTAGTTTGTAGGGTTTTTTCATTTATCATTTTGTATAAACACAGCACTCATTTGGATGTGTCGATGATTTGTAGTTCTAAACACAAGCTGTCTGGTTTGGTAGATGTAGTAAGTTACCCATTAAGACGATGTCGTCCTGAATATTCTGTTCTTGTAAAATGTTTAAAAGTTCGTATCAACATTTTGGAAAGAATTTAAACAGTTCACTCTCTCATGACCTCTATCTCTCTTTGATATATATATATATATAATGTGAGAACCCTACTACATTAAATTTAAATAATAGATGGAGGTCTTTCAAACCATTCTAAGAAGTAATTTAGGTTATAGTAATAATTTACATGAAGGTATTCGATCCTCTCATGCTATGCAATTCAATTGAGAATAAAAACATCACGTAAAACTGTTAATTTGAGAATACAATATCATGTAAAACTTGTAATTTGTTGAATGAGTATTGGCATTTTTTAATTAATTGTATTATATGTGTATTTTAGTATGGCCCGTGTGGGTGTTTGTTTCTTAATCTTGTGAGAAGACTTTGAATTTGTACAAAGAATTTTCATAAATTGAACCGCTTACTTGACCACCTATCATCATTTGTGTTCTGTATTCAACTTCAACAGGTTGTACTACTCAATTCGACTCAAGAAAACAAATTTTCAACTGGTTGGCATGTTTGATTTGACATATCTTTTTATCCTGTGCCGTACTAATTTAAGAAAAACAAAATGTCTAATTATATGATGTCATATATATATTAGGTTGATATCATATTGTATCATTACTACTAGTATTTAATTGATACTCTTAGCTTTGATCTCTTCTTTTATTGGCATTACTATAAGTGGATATCGTATGGCTCTGCTTCCTGGATATAGTGATCAGTCTTTGTTACAAATGAACAAATCATCCATCCATATACAATTTTAATTGTGCTGGAGGCCAACTCCCAATTAGTTGACCATTTTGAAGCAATTGGTCAGCTAATTCATTGAGGCTGTTTCAGTCAGTTTCTAGCTTTTTTTTTTTTCTTCAATTGATGCTAATCTTGAAAGATTTAGCTGGTGGGCTATACAGTCCTACTCCAAATTCAACTATTGATCAAATGATTTTTTCATATTTCTGTTGGTGTTTACTTAACCTGTAACATATACAGAGTCTATTTGTTTAAAAATACCTCCTGCAACTCCTGCTGTACTTGGGGCCTTAAATAAAAACAGTTAAAACGCAAATCATAAAAGGTTCTATGGTGTGTGTCCGTGCTTCATAGATTCTCACCGTTACAATGGCAGTATCAGGTAAATAACGTGGCTATTTTTGGGTCACAATTTATCCTGCCTCACAAGTCACACGACTAATACATGAACCTGGGATGGGTCTCAGTCGAAATCATAGAATAATTTTTAGTTTACAAGGTCGTCTCTCTCACATCAATGATAATTTTTGGTTTTGGTATCAAATAATAAATTATGATAAATTGTAAAATTTTGTCACACAATCACAACAAAACAAAACAATTGAATATCAAATATATGTGTGGTTCCAGTTTGAGCTTTAGGTACACACATCCAACATGGACCAAGCGCCACCATGATGCTTACTTATTTAATTCCTGGACTTTGTTTGGTCATGCTTTTGTTGTTGGTTTAGTGTTAGTTTGAATGGGGGGTTTATTATTTTGGGAGTTTGAGATATTTATTGTTTTTTATAAATTTCCTGAGGGGTTGATTGACTTCATTTCGTTATTATAATCAAAGAAAAGTTTGATCCTCACATTTTGCGAATAAAGTAAACCACATTTTCTGGCCGGCAATCACATCAAGGCTCTATAGTCTTTATATTCATGTACTTAACTTGATTGAAACAAGATACATATTATGTTATGTTGGTGATAATCATAAAATAATTGGATAAAGCATAAACAACTTTAAAGATTGTGGTTGAGGGAGTTTCTCAGCGTCCCACATGCTCATCCACTTTCATCATCTAGTTTTATTATATTTATATATTAGTATAATAATAATTCTGGGTTTGTTAGAAGCTGTGTGGATTATTGTCCATTTTTCAAATAATAAATAAATTGCTTGGTAGGAAAGGGAGTGGCTTCCTGTGGTGGAGAATTGTTGATTATTTCTCTTGTTACAGGACCCTCGTCATCCTTTGCGTCCAATAATTTGACCAATATAACACGTTTTATTTCAAATACAATATTATTAAATTGAAAATACAATTTATCAAATGAATGTTGCATTCTTAAATTAAATGCTTTGTATAACTATTGTAACATGCTTAATTTAAAATGTGCAATGCCAGTTGGATTTTTTTTTTTTTTTTTTTTTTCTTTTGGTTAGAGCTTGTACTTATTAACCTTAAAAACTGAGGATGATTTTTCATTCATTCATTCTTGTTCTGACCCCATGATGCATGACAGCGACCAAAGAATTCACTGTGTAATTTTAATTTTAATATGAAGAATTTACTTTATATATATATATATAACGTTAAGTTTACGTCTACTCGTGGATTACTCACATCCCAGGAGGTCCGAATAGATAAGTCCTGAAATCACTGAACCAATCACATAATTTGTGTTCTTTCCCTTTTCTTTTTCTTTTTTTTTTTTTTTGTCTTTTATATTGAATTACTGTATTACAACAACATCAAAATCAATAATTTCCATTCCCCTTTTTGTTTCCCTTCCTTCAAATGAACCTTTTGCCTCCCTCCCTCCCATACTATTCTCCTGGCCAAACCAGCTACAAGTCAAATGCAGTTGTCACACAGTGCTCGTCTGTGTGTGTGTGTGTGTGTGTGTGTGTGTGTGTGTGTGTGTGTACCCATGCCATAAGTAAAAGAAAGCACAAAGATGTATAAAAATGCTGCAAATTCAATGAGTATTTTGGGGGGTTAAAAAAAAAAAAAAAAGTAGATAGCAATTGGGTGTGGTAGAAATATTAAAATGTCAAAGAAACCACGCAGATAACCATCATCAATCAAACAACACTGCATCTATGGCCAGTGGAAACATAGAGGAGAGAAAGCACTCAAGTCAGTAAACACCAATACCATCAATGTTCACTTATACATGACACAAATCCCCCTCGCCCACCATCTTTTGGAAGCTCTGCCCGGAACAATAAAATTCCTATCACATTTTCAAACCTCTTCCTTCCTCACAGCCTTCAACGGTCTTTTGTCACATTCATCACTTTCTGTAAGATAAACAAAATGCCAGATACAGAATAAGTATTGGTTTTTACCCAAACCAGAGTAAAATAGTCTTTGACCAGTACACCGCACAGAAAGAAACTACACACACTATCAATCATGCCATGTAAGAAATGAAATTGGAAGCCACACAGACCCTCATTTTATTGAAATTGATACTCAGACCAGTCTATGCCCTTCTTAATTCCATGCTTAATATATAAAGTGCAACAAATTTAATTAGAATGAAAAAAGGACAGCATGTGTGTGCATGTACTACCGATTCAGGTAGATGTGACTTCTACTTTAGAAAGAGATTGTCAATATAAATCCTGTATTTTGTAATCTTTCAAATCAAACCAGGGACCACCAAACAATTGTGTGTTCAATTCTCATAGGGTGGAAGAATTGTTTCCGGATAAGATGTTAGACTTCAAAGACGACACAGATGGACCAACTAAGAATGTCTGCATCCACTCTCATCAACATAGATATTGGCAAAAGGAATGATAAGGGAGAAATGGCACAATGGAGAAAACAGAAGTTCATTTATAAATCATCACATCACCTGAATCAAAGCAGAACTTGCCATTAACACTGATGATCACTCAAGCATCTGTCAACAAATAACGAATATTAGGCACAAAACAATAAGACTATGGTTCGCAACAAGCATATTTAAGTTCTTAGACCATCCAATAGAATAATTTTTATTTTTTTAACAACAAACTGCCATGTGATTCACCAAGAAAATGGTTCTTATTTCACTAATTTGTAGTCAAAATTTGATACCAAATCCATTTGATACAAAACAGCATATGGCGAGCCACATTCCAAGGATGTCCATAAAACATGGGAAAGAATCATGGCAATACATTATCATGAAAGCATCACATAAAAGAAGAAGATAAACTAGGTGAGTACATACTTTCACGTGTTAGCATTGCTCTAATATTACTCTCGATAAATGCCTTTTCAAAAAGTGAAACTATAAATCAGTAAAAGTTGCAGTACTGAACATTCATTTTTTTTTTAGGTTCAGCAAACCACGTTGGCAATAAATGGCACAAAACTCATACAATTCACACATGCGAGCGAAAAAGAAAAGGAAAAAAGAAAAAGAAAAAGAAAAAAGGAAAAAGGTGTTCAATAATTTTTTTCCATCAAATGGCACCAGAAGAATGTTTACAAAGACAACCACAATAACTCAAAACGGTCTACTTCATAGCACGGCACATAAATAAAAAGTGATTCGCAATAGTGAACCACCTAAGATGACAAGTTTATAAGCAGAGAATTTATTTCCCCATTAGAAACACTTGATTAAACCACCTGTCTATAAAACTCATAATGGAGTAGGCAAAAAAACAGATACAAGAGTCAAACAAATTTCACTAACCAACAGCCTAAAGGATATTCAAAACAAAGTCATTATTACATAAATTCAGAAACATGTTCAATCCTAGACAGCTGAAATATTTTTAATAGAGAAGCAGTAGTTCAGAATCTTCAGATATAAAGATAAGATAAATTAACCAACTAGTTGTATCAAAATCACATCAAAACCACCATCAAAGTTCCTTCTCCCAACTATCAAGACAGCACGGGCAAGATATGTTGTCTAACCCCATTTATGCCTTTTCAAGTATCTTGACATCGCATCAATTGACATCCCTTTTAGAGATACCCATAATATTTAATGATCTTTTGAGTCATTTCACCGTATGCAATATATCAAGAAAGCAACAAATTCCAAATGGAAAATTGGATGAGCATACCATAACATAAGAAGCATGGACACTTCTAAGGAGTTGTGACCATGTCGAATACATGTCAGATATCAACATTCGAGACAGTCTCATACGTGTGACTAATACATCTTAGATGTTCATAATCTAAAATAAAATTTCTAATTCCGGACAAATGGCCGACACTTCTTGACATTTGCCAACAAACAAGTGAACTTGGAACATCAGATAAGACATTAATTTAGCAGGGGAAAAATAACTGTAAGAAAATTCAAATATAAAGGTTTATATACAATTTATACAATGTTTGACCATATTTAAAATGTAAAAAAATGGGAAGGTGTTATCAGAAGTGAGCATTCATGTATGAGATAAGTCATCAAATTATATGCATACCATACCATTTCCATATATACACCAAAATACATACATAAGCATATGCAGACAGATATATGTTTCTATATGTGAGGTTATTATAATTACAATTTATATTAGCTGTAAAGTTCATGTTACAGTCGTGGAATATGCATATGTAGCAAATAATATATTTTCATATAAAAAATATATTTTTTGTCACCATAAGATTTGTTGTCTCATAATGACCACGTTGCCTCATCTCTCTATACATGCTTCTTAGCCCATAAATCCTAATAGATTTGCAAATTAGAACCATTCCACCATAATCCCCATGACTCCCCCCACCATCACTAAAGTTTCAACATTTTGATAAATCCGAGAAGATTAACCAAATTTCCCAAAATAAATTCACATATGTATTTTTGGGAATGACGTAGGTACATGTTTTTTTTTTTCATGTCAAAATATATTGCATTTCCAAATAAGTATGCTTCATACTATTACATTTGCACTATATCAACATTAAAATGAACTCCCACTTCATAGATTAAAATTGCCGAGAATTTTAGAAGTTCGATGATTTGAATTTCTAACATATAATTTAGTCAATATGTTATAATTAATAGAAGATGAAAACTTGTCAAATGATCTATTGCTAAAAGTTAAACAAGAATGATCAAATCAAAATGATTTTCACTGAACTCAATTACTCTTTTGTAGACTTGATATATACAATGAGGTATGAAATAGCCAATGACAACCGTCAATATCAAAGTATACGTAGTAACAACCGCCAATATCAAAGTACACGTAGCATATATATTAGGTGGTTTATGATATTCACCTAGGGAAATGTAACCGATCCAAGTATATTTTTTTAGCATATATGCATGAAGATATGCATTACCAACACATATACACATATCTTACTAAAATTGAGCTCCCAAACCATTAAGCTATTGTTTCTCCCCATTTATAGTGTGCTTAGATTGGGGAATTGGAGGGAAAGGAAAAGAAGGTAAATGTTATCTCAAATAGTTTTAAAATAATGAAAGGGAAAAAAAGTAAATTGAAGAAAAAGAAGGGAAAGTTTAACCCATTGAATTGAACAGTGTTTTTTGCTTTCCTCCCGTGAGGGGAAGGAAATGAAAGGAAAACATGAGTCGACAATTTCTCATTTTATCTCTATTTATAATGGCAATAAGTTATCCATTCCATTTTCATAATAAACTTTCATTTTTCTTGGTCTCTCATAATTAATGTTACTCTTGCCTCAAGCATTTAGTTCAAGTGATATCTCCTCTTTCTTTTCTTTTCTTTTCTTTGGTTAGGTCAAACACACAAATGCCCACTATGAGACTCGAATTCGTCACCTCCCCTTCGAGGGAGGAGAGGTTATAACAGCTGCGCAAATGGCCAAGTGGTATATCTGCTCATGAGGTATTGAGGAATTGTATGTGAGTTGGGTGTGTCTTACCTACCAAAAAATTGTTATGCTTTTGTCACCTTTCCATCCTGCTTGTCTATAAGCATGGTTAATTTATCATTCACTTACGGCAGATCATATTAAAACATATCCAATTGCCGCTTTTAATAGGTTATATTTCTTCAAAATCAAAATGCACCACAATAAGTTCAATACCAATGCTCAAAGTATATTAAAGATATGAAATTGAAATATCAAGAAGAATTTTATTTCAATAGTCAAAAACCCACACCTTTCTGTTCATCAGAAGCGTCGTGATACTCCAGCTCCTCCTCCGGCACCGGATGTAATTCCACCTCCTCCCTGACCCCCTTCACCACACCAGCACCACCGCCAGCGGCAGAGCCTGCTCCGCTGCCCCCATTACCTTCCTTGTCATCAGGACACCTAACAACAACAACGGGACAGACACAGTGATGCACACAATAATCACTCACACTCCCAAGCCGTCCCTTCGTGGACCGCCTCGACGCCCCAAACCCTCGGCTCCCCATAATGACCGCACTCAAACCGAGCCTCTCCACCTCCAGGCACAGCCTCTCTTTCATGTCGTGATCTTTTACAATATGTATCTTGAAAGGAATGTGAGCTTCCACAAGAGGCTGAGCGAGATCGGTGGACTTGCTGGTGGTGAAGTTATCGAATTCGTCCTCGAGCTTCTGTTGCGACTCCTCGGAATCGGTGTCGACGGAGAGGTCGACGGCGCCCCAGTCGGCTCCGTACAGGATTGAGGTGGGGCGGACGTGGAGGAGGATCACGCCGTCCCCGGGCCGGAGGTAGTTCTGTACCGCCCACTTTACTGCGAAGGCACTCTCATCGCTGAGGTCGACCGCGATGGCGATCCGGCGGTGGGCTCCGGCGGCGGAGAGGGGGAATCTGGGGGAACATGACTGGATGTGCGCCGCTGGTGGCTGCTGAACCGGACGGTCCGGTTCCGGCCGGGATTTTTGTCGTGGATTCATAGCTCTGTGTTAGTTTGTGTGCTTGATCGTCGGCGGACTTATCTCTCTGTTGTTGTAATTAATAAAGAGTGTAAAGAGAGACAGAGGAGTGAGAGAAAAATGGTGGCAATTGAAGGGAATTGAGGTTTTGTTAACATCGAGGATGATGGTGAGAGGAGTGTTCACACCAGTCTCGCTCTCTCTGATAAATATACTGAAGTAGTAATTTATATCACTAGCGTCGGGAGTTTTTCTTCTTTTTTTTTTTTTTTTGGATTTTTAATTCCATTAGCTTGAATTTCACAGTGATTTAATAATATGATTTATTTTTAAAACAAATAATACTAGGCAAGATTCACTTAAGATTTAAACCTAAGATATGCAATCCTTTTAAAGTATAATCAATTTTGTCTATTCTCGAATTTAATTTTTAAATTTAAAATAATATTTCAATTAAATTAATAATTTATGATTACTATATAAATTTCTCCCGTTGCATTTCATAAAGTAAAAAATATAATATAAATTTTGTATTTTAAATGCTACCAATATTATGTATTAACGAAAAAATAAGATTAATATAACTCAAACAGATTAATTCATGATAATGAAATATTTTTAATTATTATTTCACAAATTATTTAATGTTTTTATCATATTGAAAATATTTTATACATTCATATGGTATCGTAACTCACAAGTATATAAACGTTCTCGAGGCACTCTTGTTCTTTCGTACTTCATTCTTGCACTTGTCTTATGACGCTCTTGTTCTTTTGTACTTTATTCTTGCACTTGTCCTATGTATCTTAAATTTTTACCTTTGATATTTTTAGTATAATTGAGTTGCATATACCTATTATTACGAGAAAAAACACAATATTATGTACTATGCAGTACTATTTTTTAAATGGATCTACTCTTAGGAAATGATTGTATCATTGCTAGTGAAAATCATCCTCCGAAAAAAAACACAATGTTATGTAGTGCTATTTTTTTAATGGATTTACTCTTAGCAAATGATTGTATCATTGCTAGTAAAATCATCTTAACAGGAAACATTTTCTTGTTTTTGTTGTTAATCCTTAAAAGGCAAAAACAAAAAAAGAAATGTAATATATTTTTGTTTTCTATGAAATGTAATATATTTTTTATTTTCTAAAATATAAAATGTTTTTCATTTTTATGAAAAAAAAAAAGGAAAACATATTTTTTTATGCTTCTTTTGTTAAACCTTTTGGGTACTTTTAACATACGAACACTTTTTATTTCAAATAAAACTCATGTTATATACTAATGTTATGTATTATTAGTGACATTTAACTATAAAATATTAATAATAAATATTTTTAATATATTACATAGTAGTGTAAATGATTTTTTGAGACAAAAAAAAAAAAAAAAAATGTGATTTATTATATTTTTATATATTTTATGTCGCTTAGTAAGAAGGAAAGAAGATGTGTAGAGAGAAAATAGGATGGAAGGAACAAAGTTTTTTCCTTCCGTAGGAAGGTTCTCTTTTACAAATTTTCATCCACCCAATTTTGTAAAGTTATTATAAAAAAGTTAATAAAGTATTTTTTAAAAAAAATTAATTACAAAATTATCCTCCATAAATATTAATAAACCCTACAATCTCATCTCCGGCAAAACCTAATAAAGAAGCATGGTCTAAGGTCGATTAATTTCTCTAATGAGAATCCCGTCCTTGGTCCTTTCTTCAACCCTGTCTTATTACAAGACAGTTTTTACCCCGTTAATTACTCTCTCTCTCTCCCTCTCTCCAGTAACTCCATGGGGAACTTGAAATAAACAAACTGTATGCGTTAAAGAATAATATTTAGAAAGAGTGTGTTGTGTAATTGTATATATTATCGTAGAATTATAATGACGAATTATGATTCTAATTTTATATGAATATATAAAAGTCTGCACTTTATTTTTTTTCAATTGCATTCTATTTATCTTTTTTTTTTTTTTTTTTAAAAATGACAAGAAGGTCCTTAAATTCATTAATGCACCTTATTTTATGATGACATAATTACCCTTCATACAACTTAATTTTTTTTTTTTTTTTTTTACCTTCTTTAGTTTCTTTACTATTTTTTTTTTTTTGAATACTTTCTTTTCTTTTCGGAGGTCTTCTCAAAGAAGATAATTTATTCCATAGTTATAATTTTATTTTTGACAGTCAAAAGACTTTCTTTTTTTTTTTTTGTGATCAAAACAAATAATTTATTCAACAAAGTTAACTCTTTTTTATTCAATACTGACAATTTTATATTATTAAATTAATTTATAATATTACATACCAGTAGAGATCATATTATAATTAATTTATAATATTATAATATATTGTGTATTTTATTATATATAAGATATATTATTTAATATCTTTTTCTTTGTTATAATATATTAAATGTTAAATATATTGTATACCACATACCAATGCCATATATAATGCATGTATATGAAACGTGGATTCTTAAATGATCATAACACTTATACTACGTTTGGTGTGCAGGAATGGAATGAAATAGAATGTCCATTCTAACCATTTATTTGTTTAGTGTGCAGGAATAGAATGGAATGATCATTCCATTACTAAACCTAATAGAATGGCCATTCCATTCCATAGTAAGATTAAAGTTTTTTGTAATATTCCCAATAAACCCTTCATCACATTTCAATAAAGCAAAATCTTTCACATTTGTCAAGATTCTTTATTAGACCTGGTAAAGGTATACTCTTTCACCTTCCCTTTCTTCTGAATATACCCAGAACTGCCATTGATAAAAAGTTGCAGGACCTTCGGTATTAATCTCTTTATCTTTAATTTTTTTATTTTTTTGATAAGTATGTATTAATCTCTTTATCTTCTGAGTATATCACTTTTATTTATTTATTTTTTATTTATTTATTTTTTTTTGTATCTTTGTGTTGAAACGATTGTGTGATTTCTTCATCTTTTTCTCTTCTAATATTTACGTATGAAGCAATGATTATATAAAATAAAAATTACGTATGAAGTAATGATTATATAAAATAAATATTAATAATCACATAAAATAAAAATTAATAATTATCTCGAGCCAAAAGTTGACTTATTTGACTTTTTGACTCTTGTCAAGTTCATCGTTAGATGATTGGAGAACCTTGCTTTCGAATTTTATCAAAACTAGAATTTTTAAGAAATCTACAAAAAAAATTTGAATAGAAAATCTAGCAAAATACCTATTGGCCTACTACTTCAGTGCTCTAGTGGTTGATTTATTAAGATTAATATCTCATTAAAAATAATATTTAGATATTTTTCCTTTTGCAGTCATTTATTAAGATTAATATCTCATTAAAAATAATATTTTATTTTATTTTAAGATTTTTTTTTATTTTTTTCAATAGCAGTACTGGGCAACTTATAATATTTAATAATTCATCGTCAGAATTAAAAAGTAATGTAAGCCAATGAAAAGGGTATTTTTGAAAAAAATCATTCCATTCCAAATTTAATGATAGTCAACCAAACAATAGAATGATAATAATCATTCCATTCCATAACAATTCACCGTGTCACACCAAACATTATAATGGTAATACTCATTCCATTCAAATTCCCATTCCGTTCTAAATTGCATTCTATTTCATTCCATTCCATTCCCGCACACCAAACGTAACCTTAATGAAAATGACCATTCAAAAGAAATGAACATTTTTTACTTTATTGTGACCTGGCAAATATGGGTGGGGAAGAAAATGACAAGCTAACATTTCTTAACAATCTTCCAAAAATAAAATTTTAAATTTTTTTGTTTTAAAACTTTGTACTACAAATTTAAATTTAAACATATTTCTATTTTGAAATAAACCAAAGCATAACAAAAACAATGGGCGTGGAATAAAAGATGCAAAACAAAAGTGGTTGCAAATTATTTTTAATAGTTTGTCTGGACTTGTCAACGAATTAAACGAATCAGATTTGATTGAATCAGAATATTTGAAACGATAATTTGAAAAGTACACAAACGAAATTTGGCTCGGAATATTCGATTAATTTGTGAGAAATTTGGCTTGGCCAAGTCTAATACAACTTGTACGGACAATCATTATTGGCTGTCCTATTTATGATAGCTGTAAGAAAGCGAGCTTGGAGGGTGAGAGGAGGACCAGTCTATAGATGCTAGTAACACCTGTGTTGTGCTTAAATAGACCTCAACGGCTTGTGTTAAGACTTTAGGGACCCAAGTGCGTGATGAGCTATCTATCATATAGCCAATTTTGGCCGTGTCTACCAAGCATATGTCAATGTCACTAGGCCACTTTCTCAACCCTCATTTTACTGAGGCTTTTGGATTACTTGCTTGCACGATTGATGTTCTGCATATATATATATATATATATATTACTTCGAGTGTGTGTGTGTGTGACAGAGTAGCAATTTGTTTGTTTTTCAGTCTTGTGAAGTCAAGTGAGCTTATAGGTTACTTTGAGTTTGTATTCAGTCGTTTGAATAAATAAATAAAACGAAAACGAAAAAAGAGGAAAGAAGTGCATTGGGAAGGAAAAAGTCCACAAAGCAATCTTCATTAGAGATGAGACTACAGCATATACTAAAAGCTCAAAGAAGTGAGATATAAAAGATACATTCAGCTAAGAAACAACACTTTACAACAAAGAATTTCTGATTATGATGTGTACAATAGGATTTCTATACAAACACAATCTTTCTTTGCATCATATACAGAGAACCCTAATTCATCAGGTGGTTGAAAATTACAACTTAATCTCTCTTCTGTAAGTTTCTACCATCTACTTTCTATATTCCATAGCCTACAAAATGTAGTAATCACACTATCAGCCTATCATAGTATCATATCCAAGGGGAACAAACAAAGAAATACAGTAGTAGGAGTCATGGCCAGTCTCTTTCCCCTTCAATATTCTGACACTACAGTGTAACAAATCCAGTTCCCGCATACAAGTGGACTAAAAGTGAGAGAGAAATGGCCACCTTAACGTTTTCGGGATGTGAAGAACTCATAATCTGGGTGTCGATTGACTACCTTGACGTGATCTTTGCAAACACAGCCTCTAGAAAAAAGTAAGGCATTCTTCTCCAGAATTTTGAGTCTGTCTTTAAGGATTTCAGAATGCTTGAACGTTTTAGATTCTTCTGCAGAAGATTCAACGGGCATTTTTGGATCAAACCAAACTTCACCCTGCAAATATGGTACAGCTGCTGAGTTATTGTATTCACGCACAATTCAGAAGCTGAAAATTAATCTGTAGTAACACTAGATATTTACTCATCGTTTCTATAGCATTACAATATTTTTGCCTAATGTTTTCACAAAACGAACCACATAGAAACTATAAGGTCTATATGTGTAATGTGTTGGTATAATCCATAAAGAAAAGGTTCACTTCCTTGGATGGTTTCTTATCAACATTGAACTTGTCATTTAACACCCAAGTTGAGATCGCAACATGTTTCTACAAGCTCCAACAATCACACAAATTAGAGAAAGTGACCTAGAAAACCAAAAATATTGAAAGTCATTAGTTAAGAATTTTGAAGGCTGAAAATTTCCTAATTAATAAATAAAAAAAGTTGGATTGAAATTATTACCTGCAACTAATTCGGAGTTTTTTTGGTACTAATTTGGAAGATTTTAAGAATTAGTTAGGAGTAAATTTTTATTTAATTAGGAAGTTTAAATTTTAATTTTATATGGAACACATTGGGAAGTTTTGATTTTGATTAAGAAGCTTGGAAGAAAAAAAAACAAGGTGTTATGGAGAAACCAGAAAGTCAAGGCCGTGCTCAACTGTCGAGCACCCTCGCTGAGGTAACAAGAAATTTGAACACCGATGCTTGACTGTGCAGATAGTGGAGCATTGATGCTCAACAGCTGAGCACGAAACTTTCCTAGAAGCTGAAAACACGATAAACTCCCTAAATGATCTTTTATCATTCTAATACCATAAAAGAGGGGTCAAAGGATCTTCTAAACATGAGAGGAACTACGAGAGAGAATAATTGGTAAGACCATGGAGGACAGATCACCTTGACTGACATCAACTGGACTTGTGACAATAAGGGTGCCATAAGAATGTACCAGAGCTAAACCAACTTATGTGATTCTTAGATTTAAAAAGTGGGGATATTCACTTCATTCACTTTCACTGGATTGTTGGCATTCTGGACTGTCTCCATGGTTTTATCCTGTTGGAAATTTAGCATATCCTTTTTACTAAATTTATAGTTTACCTGATTTATTGGCTCACATAATCATTATTAATTTTTTTTAAATGTGATTAATTTATTTGTTCATTGAGCATAATTAAATATGAAATAGGATAAAACTTGATTTATTAAACAACCAGAATTGATTATAATAGGATCAGGCAGAAGTGATCAGAGTTGAAAAGGAACTGTTCGTCCCGCCATAGATCCTAGTAGCTTCAGCAGTACACTCTCTTCAGAAACAACATTAGAAAGATTCATGTGATCAGTATCTATTTTGGATCAGACACGTGAGGCACAATATATTTTCCATATTGGCTTGGCTGATTAAAGATGACGCACCCAGCACAGAAATATATGCAAGGATGATCAAGGTTTTATTAGATCTTTGATCTACTACTTAAGTGAGATTCAAATAAAACCTGCCAGGATCCTTGTCACACCTAGCAAGAGAATCGGGATTGAATAACAGATTATGCTGAACAGGACCGATTATCTTTCAGATGGTTTCTATTTACCAAAAAAATAACTTTCAGATGGTTCCAAGCATTTACTTATAACATTATTTTGGAAGATCAACACAGCGGAAAGAAAATAGTAAAATAAGTCTTGCCTATAATTGTAGTCCTATAGATTCTAATGAACATTTGACACTAAGATAATTTGTTGGTCAAGGCGTGCTACTTGAAATCCTCGAAAGAAAATTTTCATATATGGCAAAAATAGAAATGTAGAGACTAGAAACCTAATCTCTTTGTCATTTAAGTTACCAACTCTCTGAGTGATATTCAGAACATAAAACATTCCAAAATACAAGCTGAAAGTTTCTTTACCTGCGCATTGTAGCTTTGCAATCCTAGCACAGGACATACAACAGAAAATATGTGGTCACTGAGAGAATCAGTTGGAATGCATCTTTGAACCAAATATCCTAGTGAGTGGTAAGTCAGAAATGATGCACGGAAACTGCTTTCTGGAACACGATATATGGGATACCAGGCCACTGAAAACCTGAAAACCAAAAAGCCAGATTTTAAAAGTATGTTGAGATTTTCTCTCCAAGATGAAACTAGTAAGGTTTCAAAAACTGATTTCTCTTACCAAGATGCAGGATGAAGATCATGCAGCATCATGCCCTTTAACATTGATGAATCACCAAATGGTGGATGACTGGAAGTTCCACCATTGACAAGGTCCACAATTCTGCAGATTGCAAAGGAATGACCTTTAATCAGATACATGGCACTAAAAGTAATTGTTTCTGAACTAAAATGGTTATACATAATTTCGATGGAAACAACAGAATCTTAAACCTCAACTCAATGACGCCTTAAGTCCAAAGTAAGCCACATGAATCTTTCGCTATTCAGATCCATCTGTGGCCTTACTAGGATGAAATCGGAAACCATGACGTCTTTTTTGATATCCTTACTAAGAAAAGTGATTGGTCTTCTTTTAAGACCAACCATCTTAGATGAATTTGCTCCATATTTGTCCTAAAAAACTGCTATCTCCTTCCACTGATGAAGGTATCATCTTTATTCTTACCATTCCTGTACCGCCACTCATCATGCTAGCATTCTCATTTCTGCGCCTGTTTCCTCGATACATTGTCTCTCAACTACCCCAAGAAACATGACAAAATTTATGGCTGAAATGCAAGATTTTCCGACAAACTTATTAGGAACTGAATGACCATACAACACTTCAAGCGCTTCTCCATTTATCCACCTGCTATGATTCTCCAGGCATTACAAGTGAGAGAGAACAAAAATAGCCACATATTTCTCTCATATATCTCATAGAAAAAATCTCAACACATCAATTTTTTCTACCTCAAACTAGAAATCACATCCTGTATATTCTCTATATACAATTTGTCCTACAACCTTCAGGTTTCAAAGCATCTCTCCAATTTGCTAGTATGCTACCTTTAAAAATAAAACGTGTTTCATACAAATAATGGGCTTCCTGCCATCCATTTAAGAAAGGCCTTATCTGACCAAAAATCACTCATCTCTCTTCCATTTGTTCTCATCTAGTTGCCTCTCCCTCATGTGTTATTATTAATCAGTTCCAGACTATTTGGTTCCTTTATTAAACCCAGCTGCATTAACTTTCCAAGGATACTCCCTTTTGCTTTTTTTCTTTTTCCAAGTTGACATATACCCTATAAAGGTGCTCTTTCTTCCCTTCTCTATGAACTTTCACAAAGTGCCCGGAGGGATCTCCTCCGCATGAAACCAAAAATTTCTGGCACCCTTATTTCATGTCTAAAAATGCTCAATCATCCTCTCCCTCAATATTCGGGGCCATGTCTAAAAATGCTCAAAGTATCTTTCAATTTTATCTTAATATCATTGTCCGTAAGAATAACACCTTTATCCTACCATACATCATTATCAAGCTTTAAAAAATTTTCAATACAATATATCATTACCTCACCAAATTTCTTCAAAAGGGTGGGAGCTAATCTATCAATACCCACACACACAAAAAGTCACTACCAGCACGAATTATCAAATTAAAGTAAGTACATTTAAAAATAAAATTGAACTATATGTAGTTTTTAATATTTCTTAGTTTATTATCTAATTCTATATTTTTTCTGAGTGTTGGTTCTGCCACAAAGTGGCTACCCTCAAAGCTGAACCCACATTCTCGTAAAGCTCAAGCTTTTAAAATCACATTAATTAACCTTTAAAACACGGAAAACAAATGCACACATTCATATATTTTATTAAAGTAGATTATGGCTACATAAATTATCAACATGTCAATTACATTCTAGTAAATCAGCTCAGAAAACATTGCATCTATAGATTATATTTTGTTTCAAATTTTATAGATATTTTTTTCCCAGAACTTTTGATCAAAACCCCATTGTCAGTCATTTGATTAAAAGCCATAAACTAATTTACCCTAGCTAGTACCTTTTTCTTTATTAGGTAAATACTCTCACAAATGCCCACCATGGGGCTTTAACCCCTCACCTCCTCTTTGAGGGAGGAGAACTTATTCCTACTGGGCTGATAGCCAAGTACCTTGACCTGAAATAATTCATTTGTAGTTTAAAAAAATTGTCAGAATTTGTATTTTAGTTACAAATATGATTACATCCATGATGTATTATAAATTATTAATTTCCAACTACAGTAAGTACAGCAAAATTCATGCCTCAATTTACCACATGATTAATATATCGTTTAAAGATTTCAAAAGGTTATACCATCATATTAACCAAATTAAGCCAAAAGGCTAAATTTTATAACACGACATAACTAAATGTCTCTACCCTTTGACTCAGGCTTGGTTGGTCACATTTTATCTGTGGGTTCTAAGCTATGAACCTTGTTCATTCTGTATGTACTAGCTATTACCATACTGTTCAGTATACAGAATTAAAAAAAAAAAAAAAAAAAAATTTTGGGTGGGGTGATGGGGGTTGTGTATATGTGGGTGTGTTTAATTGCAACCCCTCAAAATAATTGGGAGCTGAATATGTGGGGGTTGTATATATGTGGAAGGATGGTGGGTTCAGGGTCCTGAATAATTGCAACCCCTCAAAATGTATAACTGATAACGATGCAGAGACCTGTTGGCATGCATCCACATTTTTGCACACTGTCCATTCTAATAAATTAGTTATTACTGTAATGAGGAAGTTGTGCCTTACAAGTTCATGGAGAAAGCTGAATGCAATGATTAATGCAGGAAACAAATACAGCAAGAAAGTGGCAAGAACTTACTTATTGCAAAGTGGCTTCCGTTGCTGTGGCTGCTCCGATTCAAAATATTCAAATACGAGCTCAGCGTCATCAGAGAAGAAAGGTATAGACGTTAAACTCAGAGAGTCATTTCCATTACATATGAAATTCTCCATTTTGTCTTCCTGAAAATGGGTTTCCTTGATTGCTTTTGGAGGTGAAATATCCAAAGTTTCAGAAGAATGGGATTGCAATCCAAACTCTTTGTACTTCACTTTAGGGTTGATGAGACATGTATTTCGACAGTTGGAGATTGAAGTATAGCCAAACAATTGAACTGCTGACAGGGAAGGAACAAAATAAGCATAAAATGTTATAGGATCAGTAAACAACCCTTTAGAGTTTTCAGTTTCTGCCTTGACTTCCAATCCATAACTTCCTGGCTTCTGATACCAGTTCCAAACTGCACCAAGTGACAAATTTGGTCTTTGGTGTTTGCAGAGGGAACTATGGAACAGTTGATTATCCAAGCAGATATCACATTTCTCATATAAAAATGGAGCAATAAGTGGGGTCGCAGAATGGAGGAATCTTTCAAACTCTGCAAGTGGACAGCCCGAAGCAAGTTCAACACTCTCAGATGCTAATTGCAGTCTGTAAGCAGCATTCAGAGCTTGTGTATGTGGATCCCTTAACAGCGTCAAAGCATCCTTTGGTTCATCACCATATGCAACAGAATCTTTTGCAATTTCAACTTCTTGAGCTTTAATTTCAGTACCTACACTTTCAAATTGTGGAACTTCCCTTTTGACAGAAGTCACTTTGTGGCTGGATGTTAGGCTTATATCTTCAGCAGCAGCACTTAAAGCAGAAGGTACAAGGACATTTTTGTCTTTCAGATAGCTAATATTCTCCACCTTGGTTGAGAATGATGAAGAAACATTATGATCATTATAAACACCTAGAGAACCAGTGTTCTCCATCATTCCAGGCTCCTTTCTTCGCACAGGTACCCACTTCCTCTGAATCATTTGAGAATTAACATTTCGCTCAATATTTTCATAAGGACATCCAGATATTGAACGTTCAAAATTCATTGTTTCATATTCTACAGAAGCAAGCAGAGACCTACCAACTACATGTTCAATCCTCGGAATCTTCATCCAAGTGTACTGTGGTGGAATCCAATTTAAAATACCCTGCCCCGTTACACTAGATTTAGTCAAGCCTTGTGCTCTTTCAAACAGATGAACAGAAGAATCAATAGATGTGTGTAAACTATGTGAACTGCTGCTCATAACATTATGGCTATTGTGAATAGCTCCCTGTGCAGCATAACAGTTCTTGTGGTTGATCCATTCAAATGGTTCCTTCTGAGAAAAAAATTGCTTATTTCGAAGCCTCGAAAGGTTTACATTAAAATCTCCTAGTCCTTTCTTGCAATTGTTGTAGTTCATGTTCTTAACCAAATGGTTTGCTTTCCTATTAAATTTTTCAAACTCCCAAATTTGCCGAATGCTCACTTGACTTGACCTTGAGACATGTGGATACAGACTATCACTAAACCTCTGATGAGCAACAAAATGAGAGGGTTCAACCAGCACATTACCTGGTACTTTTCTATACTTAAATTTCTCTTTGATTCCATCAAGGGCATTGTTGTGTACAGAAGATGATACTAACAGACTAGGTGACCATCTCTCACTTGAAATTGAGTTACGCTTGAGCCAAAGTTTCTTCTGCCGCAAGCTAGAATCCATCCCCATATGAAAGGGATTTAATCTGTTTTCACCATAATTCCATGCTTCACAAACATTCTTCAGACTCTTGTGTACTGCTTCACATTGTGAAGTCAAAGTACTGGATTTAAAGTCGTCACCTGGTGCAACCGCATGAAAATTAGTGGCAGTAGAACACTTACTTTTAATTTTGGTATTTTCATTTATGCAATTACTGCAATCTTCAAACCCACAAGACAAGATATCAATGGAACCACACGACTTGCATTGAGATGACTGCCCTAAATAAAGATTTTCCTGCAGATCTTCAGCACAACAATTACAGGTTAGCTCTTCAAGCCATTGTTTACTTCGATTCAAGCCCTTGCAACATTTGCTACTTTCAAAGATACGATTATTCCAAGTATCAGACAATAAATGACTCCCACTAATATCAGACATCTCATCATATGAACACTCAAAACATTTCCAGCCATTACGAGCACTAGAATCCTTAGAAAAGTAACCCATATTCCCAGATGCAGAGAGGGAACTGACTACGGCAGATGAAGGAAAACTTTTTAAGTTTCTATCACGGTTAAAAGTAGCAATGTTTCTCTCTTCCTTGAATGGCTGATAAGATGCCACTCTATAATCTTGATCACATCTGCCAGGTCGTGTCTCAGAAATGGCCTTATAATAGAAAATTTTTGTTGGCTTACCTTTATTTGTTTTCTTCCTGTGGGAGATCCTTTGTGCAATCCTTTCTCTGCTTGGGGAATCAGCAATCGAATGAGCTCCACTGTTCACACTGGGACATTTGAGGCCGAACGGGATAGAAGAATCATTAGAAGTTTCATCAGCTAAACGAAAGGATCCAGCAATTTTTAACTTCTCTTTACATTTGACATCTAGTGAAGCAATATGTGCTGGTTGCTCTATAACTATGGATGTATTCATGTCACCACGGACACAACTTAAACAAGATGAATATCCATAGATATTGTTCCCCAGAAGTTGCCCTGCTCGATGTGCTGAAACATAGCCCCAGATACCATCTCAATGACTTCTATTTGTGCATTTCAATGCACATCAAGCACCAATCTCAGAGTAGTCAGCCTGCACAAATTTTATTGGAGAAATGAACAAAAAGCAAAGTCTGGTTCGGAATGTAAAATTAGTGGATACCAACGTCCAACATGAAGTTATACCAAAAATAAAAAAGTTAGGATTTAGCATACAATTTTGGCATTTTCAATTCAGCAGAAGCTTCATGCAGAGGATTTTGCTGCTCAATTATAATCCCATCTAAATGTCAGAACTGTAAATTTCTATGGGATTTCAAATTTGGATAGGATAAAAGGAGTACATATAAGCGCAAAAGGAGGCGCTAACTAGTGTATGCTCATATAGATGAGGTGTTGGGAATGGATATTGGAAACAGAGCTGATCTTTGACATCATTTGGCACAAAGTGGCTGCTCTTAGAATTGAACCACGTTTTCTCACTTGTCAGCCCGAGCTTTTACCATTGCATCAAACAACGACCCTTGAGGAGTGTAAACCACACAACCCCCCCCAAAAAAAAAAAAAAAAAAAAAAGACCTCACATTTAGTAGATACTGTAGATCTTGAACTACTATGCATCTTCATCATCAAAATAAGCATAATATAATTCCAAATACCCACAGCTTATTAAATTTCACTCAGGTCCTTAGAACCTACAAGTCACTACATGAAAATTTAATTTTAAGAGATCCTTAGATGGTTTCATAACAATTCCTTTCATGAACACTTAATTACAATGCAGCAATGCAGTTCCATGACCTACTATCTGAATCTTTGTAGTGTGGTGGGGGGAAGGGGAAGCTTCATTTTGTTACTTTTGAAAAGGAAAATAAGAAAAGAAAGTAATAATGAAAGCCCTAAAGTATTTTTACACCACAAAAAAAGATCACATGGACTTCGAGCAGCACCTAGAATGTCCATTGAAAACTAATGTTGTCACTGCCTACGAGTTTAGAACTGTGTTCTCTTTCCCCCGCCGGAGGAGGGGGGGAACAAAAACAAAAGAAATGAGGACACGAGTATCAAATATGGTTGCTAAGACAACTTTAATGCATTGTTATACTCAATAAAGAACCAATTCTATCTACTTTAGTCTGAAATTCATCTAAAAAAGAACCAACACAATCCAACTGTAACACCAGCTGACTTTTTCTAACATTTGCAAGAATTTATGCATTCAAGCATCGGAAAGACTCAATTGAAACTTTCGGTTCTTCCATAGGAAAGGGAAAGAAAATAAAATTTTGAATCATATGTTTTTGTTTATAATTTCCCCAAGACAAGAAAATGAAGTGACCAACTCAACTAAACAAGTTACTGTGTTGGGTTAGTTATATAAATGTCTAGTTTGCATATCCTATATGACGAAATCACAAATTCAAAATTAAGATTTCTTTCCTTTTCCCGTTTCTCTGTATGCAAATAGAGGGTTAAAAACCCTTGGTTCTAGAATAGACTTATAGCTGTGCCAATACTATCTACTTCAAATAATCCTACCACATATTCCAACAAAATTATTTCTGATTACCTTTGAAACCATTTTACCAATCAGCAACCACGAATGATTGATTCAGGTATATAATTAACCCATATGTGCATTATCCAAATATTCAAACAACCGTGAACAAAGGCACGGAGTCCATTAGGGTTTTATAATTCACCTAAATTCAAATTGCCAAAAAAGCATAAAAACATCTCTCATTTGTAATATAATAGGAATCGTGACAGAGAATTTCAACCAAGAAAGTAAATACTGCCCTGATTTCAGTCAAACCCTAAAACAGTAAAACACCATAACCAATGGAAGAGAAATGGATCAAAAATATATCAAGAAATTGCACATAATGACATATAAAGCTTCTGTAGTGACCATATCAGAAATAATGAACAAATCATAGAACTGACTCAATATCAAGAAACCCATTAAACCTTCAAAAGGTGCAAATCAATTCTTTATTACATTTCCTACGAATGAAACCAGATTACATACCAAAACACAGAAAATAAAACAAATCAATTAGATCTACATAGATGTACAGCTAAAGATGAAATCAATTCAAAGAAGAATCTTAGCAGTAACTCTAAAATGGAAAGAAACCCAAGATAGCCAAGAAAAGGTATAAAGTTTTATATACACATACACTTATATATCATCAGACATGGATGAGTACAATCAAAATCTTACCAGCGTATTCGATTGATATAGACTGAAAAGAAGGTATGCACACCTTGAAGATGAGGGTTTTGCGAATGGCCTTGGAATGCTTTAGAGAGAGAGAGAGAACCCTCTTCGGAAGCGCGCGAAGAAACAACGAATATGAAAATCGAAATAGTGTATGATTCTTATCACGTGCCACTGTTAAGTTTGTGATGATTCTATAGGGAAATATAAATGTAAGAGATGTTCTGAAACTAGAGTTAATGTGCCTGATTACGTGGAATTTAAGTTTATCGATTCAAATAAATAATCAGAAAATTACTAGAATTTTCATTTTAAAATGAATTTCGTCTAAAATAAATGAGAATTCAAGAAAGTACATGAATTTTATGTGAAATTATCTAGTAATTTCAAATAGGATCTTTTAATATATCCACTTAAATTTTTACCCTGCTACATCATTCACATTAGTACCGTAGATAAATTAAATTATAATTATGTTAGGTATGGGAGCACCGAATCATGCATAAATTTGAAATATAAGTAAATCTAATTCAAATTTTAAGAGGTCCATTTAGTATTCTTAAACACGAGAAGTTATTGGGTATCTTGGTTATAACGATTATTGATTACCTAACCTAATCAACACACCTCGTTAATTTTTAATTGGTCGAAAGTATTCAATAACTATTACTCACTATACTATTTATTTTTTTTACAAACACAACATTAACCTAAAGAAATCGCCAACAGTTGAAATTTTCACAGGCCGTAATAAAAATTAATCAAGACATGAGTCGAATGACCTTTCTTTCACTAATAATCCAAAATTATGAAAAGAGTTACTTATATTTATATGTTCACCAAGGAATTCAAGTCTTTGTTAATGCAAATGACTGTGTGAGTTTATTGTCAAAAATAAACATAAAAATAAAAATAAAAATTATGTATATTATAAATTCATTTCTAACAATTATTAGAGAGAATGGCCTCCTCAAAGGTCCTTCATTAATGCAAGTTAAAATTAGGAGATGCATGGAATATGTTTTAATAAAAATGGAACAAGTGTCTTGTAAGGTACGAAGGGGACAATAGCCTATCCGACTCTTACTTTTTAAGAAGAGGTCAAGTGTTCATACCTCCATGGAGATATGTGTGTATGAGTACCAAATACGAATAAAAAATAAATAAATAAATTTGAAAAAAGTGTGTTTTAAGGTTTAACTTTCGCACCGCAAATTATTGAGTAGGGACAAAATTATTAATAGTGCGTTTGGATGGGAAAATTGATAAAATACTACTCCTAAAATTAATAAAATGGCCCCTCTACCCCTAAATTTATTATATTATATTTTATTTTATACGTATAATTTGTAAATATTTATAAAACACCCCCATAAAATTTATAAATTATCCCCTATAAAATTATCTATTTCTTAAAACGTCTTTAATTATTTATTCATTTTCCTTCTTATTCTTCAAATTTCTTTTTGTCATCTTCAAAAACTTTTGCATTCTCTTCCTACAATTAAAACCTATTTTTTCCTTCAAAATTCTATCATATTTTTTCTTTTTATTTTACTTTCTTCTTAAAAATTTCTTTTTTTCTTCTTAAAAATTTCTTTTTTGTTGCACTCATGCATAATTTATGTGCAATAATCTTCTTCTTCTTTTTTTTTTTTTTTTTTTTTTCCACTTATTCTAATGCATTGTTGTTACATTATTATATTTTCGGCCTGTTTGAAAAAAAAAAAAAAAAATTGTACACTGTTAACATGCCCCCTTAACCAAATTTGTGGCTCCGCCCTGGACAAGATCATTTGGAGGGATAGAGAAAGAAAAGAAAATAAAGGATAAGACTTAAATATGTTTAGGTGGTTTAAAATGAGAGAAAAAAATGATAAGAAGAGACAGAGAAGGATAACAACCATCATTTCCTATCTCTCAAAAAATGATAAGAAATGATAGTGTTTATTTAAGTAATATTTTCATTATTTCAAAAGTGTCATCAACAATTAAAAAGATAAAATTATTATTTTACTCATATAACTTATGTTTAAAAAGATATGATAGTAATTTGGTTATTATCATTTTTCTTCTTTTCTCCCCCTCTATCATATCTAAACAAGAATACTACCATTTATTTTATTTTATTTTCTATCAATTCAAATATAAATAGAGATTATTACTATCATTTAGTTTTTTTTTTTTTTTTTTTTTTTTTTTTTTTTCTAATAACTAATAATATAATTTATTTTCTTTAATCTTAAATTTCAATTACTTCATGTTCCACTCGCTAATAGCGTATCACTCCATGGAACTATAGGATTCAATAAATAAATCAATCAATCAATTAATTAATTAATTAATTTTGAAAATTACTTCATGTTCCACTCGCTAATAGCGTATCACTTCAGTTATTAATCAATTAATTAATTAATTAATTTTGAAAATTAGCTTTTGATTTTGTTAAACTAACAACCGATTATTGGTAATCAACAAAATCACGAAAGCAAGTAATACCATCATGAAATTATTTATAGTGACAAGCATCACAAAGTTTTAATGATTTTACTTAATTTTATATGCACTTCAATTTACGGTTAGAACTTAGAAATTAATTTCACTGAAGGGAATTCAATACATTTTTGTGATACAAACTTTAGACTGCAAACTATTCATATAAATGTACAATTAGATACAAATATTTGACACTGTGTATCATTCAAAAAGGCGTAAAAAAATTTAGTGTTCCCGTTCATGGCGGTTCCTTTCCAGCAGCCCCTCCATTATGACTCTTTTATTGTAATCTCTAGACCAGTACTCCATGTTCACCGCCGGCCACTTCGCCGCCATTTTTTCTGACTGCGGGTTGAACTTACTCCGGCAGGGCAGAAAGTAAAAACACATGGACGCAAGCAGTATTGCACATACTCGCCCCCAAATCATCGTTATGGAGAGAATGATGAGAATCAAACAGAGTCCCCAGTTTGAAATCAAATTGCCCAGAATTGAGTTTTTCGATTTCACTTCGGCAAGATCTTGAGGATTTCCGATGCTCGGTTTTTTCTGGTCCAATAAATCGGACAGAGAACGAGACATGCACTTCTTGTAAGACAGTGATCGGAAGTTATTTCGTTCCGATGATGAAAACGAGGAAGAACACGATGAAGAAGACGAAGATACAGATAAATTTCTTTTGTTGTGTTTGATGTTGGCCTCCAACGATTTTGGGTTCTCCAAATCGCCAGTGTTAGATTGAAACGTGAGTTGATGAACTTTTCTTTCACGAACTCTCTTTTTCTGAAAAAAGTAAGGGATATATTAGGATTTACAAAAAAAGGTCGTGAAGAAAATTGAAAAGCACAGAGTTTGAATGGTGAAGTACTAACCAGTGAGATCACAAACAGAACTGCTTTAAGAAATCGGCGTGAATTGCTCTTTCCTTCTGAATTTCTCGAATTTTTATGGTCCGGAGATGGTGATTTGAACTTTGATCTCTTCAAATCTTTATGGTTCGCGACGGAGATATATGTAGAAGAAACTCGACCATGGGAGCAATCATTACCGTCCGATTCGATCTCCGTTTCCGGGACGATGGGTCGAAAACAGAGCATTAACTTATTCTTCATTGTTTTTGTCGCTGTGGGCGGGCTTCTGGGAACTGGAATTTAAGGTTTAGAGAGAGAGAGAATAGTACTCAGAGAAACGACGCGACGGATACAAAAGAATGCCTCTGTTTTGTCTGGTGGCGTTTCGGCCGTAGAGGGCCGGCGGTGCCAGTGATTTGTCATTTTTTCAATAGGCGTGGGTCCCACGAGTCTAGTGCATGGACAAGGTATTGGGTGTGTCCTGCCACATACGTTGGATTCATCAGTGCGGGACGCACAAACATGCGTTGTGCACATTCGAATGAACCGCGGGTGTATTGTGCACCGTGCATCTAACACGCCGCGGTGTATTAGCGCATCATAAATAGACTTGACAATGGATTGATTTATAATCTAAATTTAATTTGAATTTGATCCAATTAACCGGATATGATATGAAATGAAAAAAAAAAAAAAAAAAAAATTGATAATTCCATAATAATCCCAATTTAACAATTTCTTACCTTAACAAATCGGATATGAATTATAACTAATTCAATTCGATATACTATAATATATTATATATGAATATTATATATATTAGTTATTTACTAATATTAAATATATATATATATATATATATATATATAAATTATTTATCAATATATTTATTTTGTTGTATAGTTATATTATGTACCTATAAATATATTCATTTTGTTATATAGTTATATTATGCACCATTTTATATATTAACAATTTTTAAATTCATTTAACTTTATAATTATACATGGTATTTTAATATTTGTAAAAATAAAAATAAAAAGTAAAATAAATAAAAATAATCTAAATTTGAACTAAATAAATATGAATTTAAATATATAAGTCGTTAACAGTTCAAATCGGATAATTCAATAACTTATCAAAGTAAATATGAATTTGATTGATTGACGGGCATAATCGTAGGGCTTTGGCTCGATGTCTCGATTTTGTTGCTTCGGCACCATATTATTTTCCTTTTGAGTGGTGCCATGTAATGTGATCCAATTAGCCGAACTACTTGGCTGAAGGTGTGCAGGCCCCATCATTTATTATGTATCATTATATGTGTAATGATATTCAAGTTGCCTACTTTTCAAAAAATAGACATAATAATTGTCTACATTTAAGTTACATGAAACAAAAAGGATGGTGAATTCAAAAGTAGTAGTTACATAATCAAATTATAAATAATAAAAAATTAAGTAAAAGCGCAGGCAGAGCATGAAAATAAGAACGCATTCGGAATGTGAGAGCGACAATGGTTGAGAAAGATTGTGTGACTTTGGTATAAATATTATTTTTTTAAAAATATTGATTAAAATACTTTTTAGATTGTGAGAGAGTGTTTTTAATTTATTGTTGATAAATAGTTTTTATTGAACACCAGAGAGTGTCATATATTTGATATTGAAGTTCCGTTTTTTGGACGTAAAATATTTTTTTAAAAATATTTTTTTATTTTTTGATGTTTGGTTGTCGTAAAATATCTATGAACAAAAAAAATATTAAAATTTAACAAAAATAATTTATTCATTAATTTTGGACAAGTTATTTTACATATCGTATTCAATAGACTCGACTTTAACCTTCACATAAATTTTTGTTAAATACCAATAAAATAAAAATAAAAAAATATTTTACCTAAAAATATATATATATTTTAAAAAGAATATTTTATGTGGAAATAAACAAAGTCTGAATAATTCTTTATTGACCGTCCAACTACTTAAATAGGCATGTGATTTTTAGCATAAATAGCCACCGTTCTTTGGCACTTAGCAGTTTGCAGTATCCCAAATGAGTTGAAGACTTCAACTGAAATCGTGATATTTTATGTCTACAAGACCTCAACTTTAAACTTGATGGGCTTGGCCCATTTGGCTGTTGAGGGACCACATAAATACATAATAGGAGTAGGATGTAACATGTTTCTATGTAAAGTAAAGGAGATGTGACAGAGTAATATATTCGGGTGAGGTTATGATTTTTGAATTTTTTTTTTTTTTGATATCCATGAAGTAAATTAAGTGCATTTAGTTCAAGAATTTTAAAGAGCATCCAACGATCTACGGATTCCAATAGTTTTCTTTGATTTCAAAGCATTAAACATTTTATCACGAAATATTTCAATAATTTTTGGTTTTTATTCTTCGCACCCTCTCCTCACTAACTCCAAATATTCTTGTTATAAAAAATATATATAACAATGGTAATAAAACAAAGCGTCAAGTATAGAAAATACTCCTAAAATATACTTAGTGTTTTGACAAATTTAAACCTTAAGTTGACTAAACTATTCTTACTAAATAATTTTTTAAAATATATAAAAATAAATAATTTTGTAAAATGACCACAAATATATATTCTATTGGATATTTTCGGAAAAGTAAAGGACAAAATTGATATTATAATATTAATATATGTCAGATTTTTTTGATTAACGGGCATTTTTGCACAATGTAAAAAGATTAAGAGGGTTTTTTACATAATTTTTCAAATAGGATTAAAAAAATGATAAACAAAATATATTTTAGGGAGTTTCCTGCACTTTTTCCTTTAATAATATAAGACAATCTTTTATATATATATATTCTCCTAAATTTGGTAAGTAGCCGCCAAACTATACACACACTTCAAAGGGTATAGTGATTGAATGGAAATGAAGGATGTTATACAAATTAATTCCAACTATGATATTCAAGACTAAGTGTTAGTGATGTAATTATCATGTTTTGAAGTAACTAAATAGAGCCGGCCAGAAAAGTATTGGCACCAGAACTGGAGACCCTTCATGCGTAGTTTACTAGTTTTGCATTTTTCTGGATCCTCGAAAGCTTCAAACAATCAAACCTAATGATTTCTTCTTTGATGAAGTAAAGACTAAAGAATGGTGTGTAGCAACACGAAATAAACGAATTATATACTGAATAATATAAAATTAAAATATTGTTTTGTGATTCAATTTATCAAATCGAAAAACGAATTATTGAAATCCAACAAACAATTTATACTAAAATAACAAGATTTTCAAGCTAACACCTTATTTTGAGCATTACCCAGTATAAAAAATAAGAATATAGTTAAAAAAAAAAGAAAGGAAATTTATTTAACTATATCTAACAAAAATAAACTTTACATAAAAGTAATTACTGTTTTTTTTTTTTTTTTAACTTGGCCAAAAAAAAAAAATTTATTGCTTTTTTTATTATTATTTTTGGTGCAGCTTTGAAATCACAAACAAACTATTATGGTCTCAAAATTATTTTGCAATTGATATGGAAAAATAAACCTATCTTGACCTAACAATAGAGGTAACTAAGTGTTGACCAACCGCTAAATCTTTTCGGTGATCAACGATAATATTTTGTTATTAGGGGTAACGATTTCCATAGATAAGAATGATGACAAATCTTATCAAGGATAAGATTTTCATGGGATAAGGATGATGAAATTCCCTTATCGAGAAGAAAGGAAACGAAGATAAATAGGACGACGACTCGGGAATAAAGTACGACGAAAAAAACTATTATTAAATCCCTGCCTTCTCCTTAGAACTTCGGTGACTAACTTGATCGTCGAAGAGCTCTTGGCAGGCACCACACCGGTGCTGTCAAGGTTCATCTATCTTCTCCTTTTTCCCTTGTTGGTAAACGGTATCGTATTGGACCGTGTGAATTTCACTCTCAACAGTTGGCACAGTCTGTGGGAACGACGATTCCCTCGAATCAATTAATTACTCTGTTGAGTATATACGTTTGTAATCCGGTATGGTTACCAAAGGAACACTGTCACAGGGATCTGGTCAAAAGGTAGAGTCGGGTGAAAACCTGGACGTCCCAAATGACTAGACACGGCTTGCAGCATTGGAACTGCAGGTTCAAACTTTGAGTCAGGGTATGGACCAGTTGATCCAGCAAAATGCAGCGCTCCTACAACATCTTGTTCCACCGGTTCAACAAAACTTGCCACGACAAGATCTCTCAAATCCAAACGGAGGTAATAGGAATCTTGAAGAACAGGATAATCATTCCCCCTAAAATGAGACCAAAGTGGAACAAACCATGTGGGAACCCAACATAGAGAGGTGGTCCACCCATCTCTCCCACGGAGTTCCCGACCTCCTGAAAGCACAGCCTTCTGTCTTAAGGAAAAGACAAAGAAAGTTACCTATCTTGACCTACAGATCGAGGGTCTCAAGGGGAAAATGGAAGATGTAATGCAGGTTATGAAAGGGAAAAGTCCTGCCGCCGTAGATGACCTGGTACATAGGACCAACTTGCCGTTCAGCCCTGCCGTTATGAAATGTCCACTACCTAGCAAGTTCAGGATGCCCTCGTTCGAAAGCTTCGATGGGAACAAAGATCCCCTTGATCACCTGGAAACTTTTCAAGCTCTTATGCATTTACACGCTGTGCCAGAAGAAATCATGTGCCGAGCTTTTCCCACTACATTTAAGGGATCAACAAGAGCTTGGTTCAACAAGCTGAAGCCAGGAACCATCAACACCTTCGAAGAACTGAGTAAGCAGTTTGTGAGCTACTTCATTTCAGGTCAGAGGCATAAGAGGCCGGCTACCTACCTGTTTACCGTGGAGTAACAAAAGGAAGAGTCGATTCGGGAATACATCACCCGATTCAACGCAGAGATGTTGCAGGTAGAAGAGGTGGACGACAAGGTAGCTTTAACCGCTTTCATAGGAGGACTCCAAACCTCTAGATTCTTATTCTCCTTATCAAAATAACCTCCCACCATCATGATAGAGTTGCTGATTAGAGTGTAAAAACACATCAACGCTGAAGACACCATGAGTGCACGGAAGGAAAGAGAGGACAAGAAGAGGCCAGCCCCTCTCACCAGGGATGAAAATAATACCAAATATAAGATATCGTTTCTCAGCCAGAGCGATAGCACATATCATGAGAAGGACTCAGATGAGTATACCGACTAAAAATTGTCTCATGGCCGAAATTAGCCTTATCAAGTCATTCACAATAAAGACTGGGGGCATCTTAGTTAATCATTTTAAATGAAGGGTAGCTCCCTCACGTGTTATCTTGTTTTTAGTAAGCCTTGAGGCAATGATGGTCTTTAATAAAATTCTTTTCAGTTGCCTTGACTCTTGGTCAATTATCTTTATACGTGCAGTATCCCCGTATTATAAGGGATAGTAAATGAGTGTCCTGTATTACAAGGACCCGGGCTGAGTGAATCTCGTAATCCGTATCCCCGTATTATAAGGGATAGTAAATGAGTGTCCTGTATTATAAAAACCCGGGC